TGCCAGGGCTGGTCTTGAACTCCCGGAATCAAGCAATCCTCCCACCTTGCCTCCCAAAGTGCTGGGATTACAGGCATGAGTCACTGCACCCGGCTCCATAAAACTTCTTATTCGATGCAATGAATGATGCTTTATTCTGAGACTGTATTCCTTTGGAGGCATTAAGATGTTTTTATGAGATAGTGGAAACCAGAGATTATGACTATGCTTTCCCAATGTCCTTTCTGGGTAAATTTTTAAATGAAAATACTATGTTGCTTCCAAAATTCTATTTCGAAAACTTAGTTTGCAAGTCAATCCAAAATTCTGGGAACCACTGTTTTAGACAACTTCTGGAGCTTATTAAGATGAATGTATAGATATTAGTATATATAATATCTATTATTATATATTATATATTTTATATTATATATTATATCATATATTATATTATTCATGTTATATATTATTTATTATTCATATTATATATTATATAGTATATAGTATATTATATATTATTATATTATATATATTATTCATATAATATATTGTATATATATTATATATTATTATATTATTCATATTATATATTATATTTTTATATAATATATATAATATCTAATATCTATTATATATAATATATATTATATATAATTTATATATTATATATCTTATATAGTATATTATGTATATATTATTATATATTATTCTGTGTGCTAATTTTCCTACTCATTTCATGCATACCTGTCCATGTAGTAATACCGACATGACTCTTATCTTAGAGTACTATATAGTAATTCAGAATCTAAAATGTATTATTGTTTAGCCATTCCCTAATGCCTTGTACTGAATCTATGCCTTTATCAGTATGAACAGCTTTATCCAAATCAATTGTCTTCTTCCTGGCCCCAGTTCCATCAATTGCTCCCGCAGGTATGGTTCTCAGCAGGGAATTTATGGGTCACTGGCAATGCACAGTTTTTTATGTTTCGTTCTTATGATCCATCACCAGATTGTAGCAAAAAGACAATCTGCAGTATAGTTGACATCTCTTAACACATCAACCAATAACAGGCTATAATTAATTCTGATAATTTCCCAAACAGTTGCCTTAACTCTCATTTCTTGAACTGCTAGAGAGGCCACGTCTGTTTCTCAGGGTGACACTGTTTCTCAAATTCCCTGTACTCATCTCTCCTAACCACTTCCTGAGAGGATGTTGGCCTCCAAACTTCGGTATCTCAATTCTTTATATTTTGGGTGATAACCATTTAATCTTTGAAACCATCCCATTATTTTCACCCGTGCTGTGGCATTCCATTTAATATTTATTCCATTGCCTTTGGCTGGGCTAGTTCTCCTTTATTCTCCTGATATTCAGGCACATCTGTCTTGTGTATGACGATTTTCTCCATTGCCTCCGTGGTCATAAGTTTATCTTCCCTCTACAGCTGGGTTAAAAATGCTATTCCATTTTCTTCTAGTTATTTTAGAGATAAATATGGTGGAACCTTAAAGCTGAGGTCTTTATGCTCTGAAATTAATAACTGCAGAACTTTCCAGTAAGAGCGAAATTTTCCCAGGGGGACCTGTCCACATCACAAAATGCAGATGCCACGGGACAGCTACCCGTCTCCTATCCGGAGTGAAGGTGCACGTGGTGTCTGAGGACTGCAACGTTAAACTCTTTCTAAAGGGGCCCGACACCCTAAAGTTCTCTCAACTGCCAATGTTGGAGCTTGTATCTCAACAATCTTACTTAAACTCTGAGTACTAAAAGTTATCAATATACAAAAAGCAATCACCTGAAGAGATATACTGTCACCCAGGAGTACAAAAACCAAACGAAATGGCTAGAGAGGCATTTCACCTATTTCCTTTTTCTTTTTGAAATGGGGTATTGCTTTGTTGCCCAGGCTGGTCTTGAACTCCTGGCCTCAAGCAATCCTCCCATCTCAACCTGCCAGTAGCTGGAATTACAGGTGCATGCCACCGGACCTGGCTTCTCCTAATTATTTTTCACATCATGAAACTCCATGGGAAATTTCAATAGCTTTGCCAATAGATAGACAACAGAGAAAAAAAAAAATATGATGAAGAAAAACAGCATGTACGTATTCATTTACAAAACTTTAGATCACTCTATATAGATTTTTACATATCTACATCTGTAATATACAGGGGAAAAAATTCAAAAGTAAATTCATTGGAAGGTTACCAGTGGTTATCTGTAGAGAGAGAGAATTATAGGTAATTTTAATTTTCTTTATACTTTTTTTGTAATATACACTTGCATTATAGACTTTATATAAACTTCTTTGTACACCCGTGCATAAAAGCCATACTTTTATTCTTTTAAAAATTTGAATTCTTTTTAAATGGAGGTAGAAAAGATTCCGTTGAATCAATGCTACTAATGAATCATGCTGACGAACCTCAGCTTTTATTTAGGTCACTGCTTACTGCACACAAGCCCCACATTTTTTTTTCATACATGTTTCCTGTCATCACTTAAAACAGTAAGTCTGCAGAGACTCATTATAAAATACAAGAAAGAAAATTCAGAAACTACCATAAACTTTCAACTGCCTTTGTTCAAGGTTGCGGTCTCAAAGGAGTTGTAGAATAACCTGCAATAAGGTCTACGTAAAAGCAAAACGATGGTTTAATAGTTAAGTTTTAGAAAAAGTTCCTGTTAGATTAAATAGCATTACATTAACGGGCAATGATAAAATGATACACTTAACGATTCTTTAAAATACTCTAGTAAGAAAAATAAAGTGGTGGGGGAAATAAAAACAGATAAAACAAGAACAACGGAAAGTTGGAATTGCTGAAGTGAGGTGATGGATCTAGAGCTACATTACCATTCTATTTTGCATATATTTGAAAATTTTCCATTATACGATATTTTGAAAAGGTGCTAAGAAAAATGAAAAGAAATATATACTTGTGCACAATCATTCATCAAATCAACTAATGTAACACAATTAAGCTAACAGCCACTTTTCCTTTTTTCTGAGACAGTCTTGCTCTGCTGCCCGGGCTGGAGTGCCATGGGGCAATCTCGGCTCGCTGCACCTCCCGGATTCAAGTGATTATCCTGCCTCAGCCTCCTAAGTAGCTGGGACTACAGGCACCTGCCACCAAGCCCAGCTAATTTTTGTGTTATTAGTAGAGACAGCATTTTACCATGTTGGCCAGGCTGGTATCGAACTCCTGACCTCAAGTGATCTACCCACCTTGGCCTCCCTAAGTGCTGGGATTACAGGCGTGAGCCACGGTGCCCGGCTCACTTTTTCTATTTTAACACATCAGGGTGACTATTTCAAAGCGGGCATTCTACCTGAAAATTCCAATAGAATTCTGACTCTCTACTTCTTCTTCATTAGGCAAGACAGTATATACATATAAAATATTTTAAGAAAAAAATCGTTTTCATATGCATCTACAGATTTGATTCCGATTTTAGATTGTCCTTCCTGGGCCAGAACCAAGATAGTCAGCTAACAGAGCACTACCCGGCTTGTGACATTTAAAAACTAAAGCACAATGCATGCTAACTCAAGCAGCAGCAAGATCCTGCAATGGCACCATCTCGGCTCACTGCAACCTCTGTCTCCCAGGGTCAAGTGATTCTCCTGCCTCAGTCTCCCCAGTAGCTGGGATTACCGGCATGCACCACCAAGTCCAGTTAATTGTTTTCTATTTTTAGTAGAGACAGTTTTTTGCCATGTTCGCCAGGCTGGTCTTGAACCCCTGACCTCAACTGATCCACCTGCCTCGGCCTCCCAAAGTGCTAGGATTACAGGCGTGAGGATTCTCATTCTGTGTGACGTGGAAGAAGAGTCCTGCCACTTTCTCTAAGAGGAAAACAAACTGGTCTGTACCCAAGTAAGCTGCGGAGCAAAAAACCTCAGCACTTAAAGGAACTAGACAACCAAAGCCAACATCATTTATTCGGGACAGTCTGTTCCCTGTAACAGCTGCAGAGGACGGCAGGAATACCAAGGATCTGGGATCCCCAAACAGATGACTTCCCAGTGCATCAAAAGCAAACTTACGTGTAACCTCGAGTCACTTTTACATGGCACAATTAAAGAGTTTTCATTATCACAAATGATTCTCCTATTTCCCCCAGGAAGGTTGGCAAAGCCTGTTTTATTTCCATTTTACAGGTATAGAAACTGAGGTTTGGAGCTGTTAGACTAGCTCTTACACAAGTCTTCTGACTTCAGGGACAGAACTCTTTCTGCTACCCAACACTGCCCTTGGAGTGTGTCTATGAGGGGAAGGAGGGCAGGAGAGGAAGAAAGTGAAGCAGGGTGGAATATAGGGGGAATGTAGGTTAAGTCTAACACTTTCTGAGTTTCAAAACACCCAGAGTTATTTTTTTATTATCCATGGAGTTTGGTCTAGTCTCTGCATGACTGTGGATTGAACTGTACTTCCATTTACAGCCATATTTTGGTAGGCTTGCTTTCTCTGCTGAGTTTTGACAGAGGTCTGCTAACAACTCGCTTAACCTAAGAAATAAACAATTAATATTTTTTTCTTTTTTTGAGATGGAGTTTCACTCTTGTTGCCCAGGCTGGAGTGCAGTGGCATGATCTCGGCTCACTGCAACCTGTGCCTCCCAGGTTCAAGTGATTCTCCTGTCTCAGTCTCCCCAGTAACTGGGTTACAGGCATGCACCACCATACTCAGCTATATTTTTGTATTTTTTAGTAGAGACAGGGTTTCGCCATGTTGGCCAGGCTGGTCTTGAACTCCTGACCTCAAGTCATCCACCTGCCTCAGCCTCCCAAAGTGCTGGGATTACAGGCGTGCGCCACCCTGCCCGGCAACAATTAACTTTTTTTTAAACTAGGAGGGACTATCACAGCGGTGTGGCTGGGAGGTTTGCTGCTGGTCCTTTCTCCATAAATCAAGACGGCGCAAAGGAGGAAAAGTTGGCAGAGCAACAGTCACAGCCCCCAACACCCCAGGGCTGCTTAAGCTAGTAGGAGAGCAAAGCCTACCTCTCTGACTTCGTGAAGCTGGCCGGAATACTGACTCTTGGCTCTTCGGGCGGCTGCAGGCGACTTGTGATGCGTGATTGTGACCACACCGGGGGCCCCCAAACTGAGGTGTCTCTGGCTACAGGGAGACGCAGAATTGGGTGTTCCATGGGGGAGCAAAGTGAGACTTCGGCTTCGGGAGCTTGGAGCACTCTAGAATAAGCAACAGGTGTCAAAACTCAACAACTGACCTGCAGAACACAACTAAATGTTGGCTTCTATTCATTTTGGACCTCTTGGTCATTCCCCTTAGTCTCTTTAGGGAGATAAAGGTACGGGGAAATATAAGAGCACGGCATGCCCAAATCCCACAAATACGCACTGAACTGCCCTTCCGTTAGCTGCCGTTCTGGTTTCTTCTCCAGTTGTGTCTCCTGTCCTGCATTATGGCCATGAACATCTATTCAAAATCCTGCCCGCCACCCTCCCCAACCCAGACACCACGTACGCTCACGGAGCTCTACCTGTCTACCTCCTAGAATGCCTTTCCTCCATGGCTGGTCAACCTCTGCTGAACCTTCAAACTCAGCATGGTGTTCTCTGCTCTGTGAAGCATCTCCCTGGCTTTCGCAGCCTCTCTGCTGCTCTTATTCCACTGCATCAAGATTATACTGATTATCCAGTTACTTTCTTAAGAGATGCTTTCATGATCTTTATATCCCCAAGGCCTGGCATATCACAATTGTTTAATTTATTAAGTGCTTAATAATGTCGGCTGCATGCATGAACTAAGCTGCCCACCAACCGTTCTTCATTTGTTAGTCCAGTGTTTACATTTCATTCTATAAAAACATATGATCCAAATCACAACCTAGTTTATGAAAAAGATGGCATCTCAACTTAGTGGAGATGAATTCTTCAGTAAATGATGGGATCACTGGGAAGCCGTTTGAATAACAAAGCTGGATTCATCTCTCAGATCACAGACCTCGAATGGATCCAAGATTTAAGAAAAACTGTTCTAGAAGAAAACCCGCAACCACAGGGTAGGAAAGGCCTAACACTTGGAAATTCAAAAGCTATAAAAGAAAAGCTTGAGAAATCTGATACCTAAAAATTGGAAACCTCTGCAAAGGAAACAAACAGACCAAGCAAATACCCCACTACGACCACCCGCAGAGCCCAACCATAAACTGGAAAAAAATGCAGAGCTGGAAATAATTATTAAAAGGGGGCAAGGTATGAAGACAGCTCACAAAAAAAGAGATATAAATGGCTTTTAACCCACAGGAAAATAAGTCCAACTGTACTCAGAAGATAAATATAAATTCAAACTACTTTAGATAACCATCATTCACCCAATAGATTGGCAAAAATTCAAAAATCTGAGTACAGAGTCTGTCAACAGGGCCAGAGAGAAATGAGTTTGTGGAAGCAAAAAAGGTGGCAAAACCCTGAGGACAGCAATTGGCAGACCTGTCACAAACACAAATGCACCTCCCCCAGCTCCAGCAATCCCCCATCTGGGAATGTATCCTCAGACATACCTGCAGCTAGGTGAAATGCCACATGTCCCTGTTAGTCACTGCATGTTTGATGGCAAAGGACAGAAAAAAAGCCAAATGTCCATCAGCATGGGACAGGTTAAATAAATTACGATACATCTATGTCATGGAATACTACCAAGCTATGAGAGAATAATGAGAGAGGTCTCTGTGAATCAATCTAGAAATACCTCTCAGCTATACAGTTAGGTAAAGGAAGGCACACGATTTTTCTATCGTATGCAAAGTATAGCATTTTCCAACATGAGGTAAGTATTTGTTATTTAAAACTTGTTGAAAATCATCTGTTTAAAACAAACATACTGTGGAAGGACTATAAAATTATAAAGTGGCAGCTTATTTGTGGAGAAACAGAGAATGAAAGGACAGAAACAGAGAACAGGATTTTTTCCACTGTATACCTTTTATGTTCTTTCACTTTGAACTATGTGAATGTACTCCCTATTGAAAACATTTTAGAGCTGGCTGAGGTGGCTCATGCCTGTAATCCGAGAACTTTGGGAGGCCAAGGCAGGTGGATCACAAGGTCAGGAGTTCGAGACCAGCCTGGCCAAGATGTTGAAACCCCATCTCTACTAAAAATATAAAAATTAGCTGGGCGTGGTGGCACACGCCTATAATCCCAGCTACTCAGGAGGCCGAGGAAAGAGAATCACTTGAACCTGGGAGGTGGAGGTTGCAGTGAACCGAGATTGCGCGATTGCACTCCAGCCTGGGTGACAAAAAAAAATGTTTTAAATTCTGCATAAATTTACATTCCAATTGTTCCTATACTTCATTTCAGCTTGAGAAAAGGCAGTTAGATAATGTGGAAATCATCCAGTTTCTAGAGTTCAAACATTTACTGAATACCTACTGTGTGCCTAGGGAAAAATCTACTGTGTAGTGTCAGGAAGAAACAAAAGTATGAGACAGTTTTTCACCACAGACACTTACAATGTTGCTGGGGCTATAAGATGCACATAGACAGAGACAGACGAAAACACACACAGATGCACACTTACGAGACGGTGCATAACAGGGGCTAACTTGGCAATCCAGCTGAAAAATGTCAAAGAAGTGAGCTCATCTCATCATGCCAGGATGTTCCAAGGGAGAAGAACCTGAAGCCCGAGTAGCTTTGGGGAAGCTTCAGAGGCAAGGCAGCACACTACATAGCAACCCAAGAGTCTGGATATCCAAGGCGGTCTTAGCCTCAGGACACGGCTAACAGGCACAGCTCTAAAAACTGCCAAATGTTAATGATCCATCATTTTGCAGATCACCAGGGGATAGAGGAGTGGGTGGGAGCCAGGGTAGAAATCAGAATTTTGGTTTACCTTGAAATACCACAGTCGCTTGTAAAGTTTCTCTGGATGTGACTTGGACATAATGAATTGGAATGCAGATAAAGATGGGGAATAACCACATGGTAGGTAATTGGAGAAATGTGTGGTCTAAGAACTATACATGTTGATCACAATGAACTATAATAGTCATCTACTTTCCGCTTCAATCTTTTCACTTGGAGACTAAAGGGAGAACGAGGATATTTCTTTAATAACAGTAAATTTGCCTAAGTATTAAACAGTCCACTGAAATACATTCTGGCATCAGCAAGGAGTATTCCAATCCAGGAAAAGGCAGATTTTTTCACTGGGCTTTGAAGCCAGGCAGGTAAGTTTCCTTCTTCATTTACACACCTCTATCCCTATTCCTCCCCTACCAAACCCCTGTTCTTTCCAAGGGGTAAGTTATTTAAGCCTACTCATTAAGCATCAATTTCCTAATCTTTAAAAAGAGAAATAATAATATTGACCCTTAAAAGCCATCATGAAGTTTAAATTAGATTATGTATGTAAAATACTTAATGTAGTGCCTGACATGCAGAAGTGACATAGACAAAGTTTCTTTCTTTATATCACTGGAAACTTGAACGATGAAAGCCGTATGGATTTTTAAAATGTTAAGAAGTTGCTTAGCACGAAATCATAAGCAGTCTACATGGTCAGACTGGTCAGAAGCCTAAAACATAATTAAATATTTACAGAGTCAGCCATTAAATAGCAAGATTGTAGGGAAACACACACACACACACACACACACACACACACACACACTCGCTCTCGCGCACGCGCACTCTCTCTCTTCTAATTCTGAGTAGAAATTAGGGCACATCAGAATCAGAGAGGAAGACAGCTCTCACCTTTGCCTACAGCAGCATCAACATGAATGTCAATAAATGAAAAAATTCACCCAAGAGCCAAATCATTCCACTGTGGAGGTCTCACCCCATGATCATTACTTAATGGCTGTCATTGGAATTTATAAGCAGGAAATTTGAGTCAAGAAACCTTCACTTTTCCATTAACTGGGGATTCTTATGGTGTAATTCATACCCATACCTTGTCTCAGGATAAACGTGAGCAACAACATCTGACTCTTGGTAAACCCCACAGGTAATCGGTCATTACAAGAACAAGTGAGAAAAGGCAGCAAGTTGCAACCACTATAAATGAGCAGGCTGTCTTTGCAAAAGGCACCCTGCCTACCATCTCCAGGTTTTGTTTCAAAGTTATGCTTCATTGTCATAACAACCTATCTTCACTACTAATATAAAATATTTGCAGTCTGAGAAACAACATGGCAGGTTTCTGTTCCAAATATTTATTTCAATGGGGGCGACCAGAAACACCAAATGTGCCATCTGTGGAAAATTCTGTCGAGAGTAAGTTTCTTCATCCTTTGCTTAGGAGAACTGTCCCTTCACACAGCCATCAGTGCCCATCTGACTGCTCCCTGTGTCCCCTCACTTCATAAGCACCTGGCTGATGATGGGGTGACAGCAAAAAGAGAGTGTGGGAGCAGGTGAGACCCGAGTGCTCACACTCACAGCCCATCCAGGCATCTGCACACAATCTCACAGGCCTCTTTGTCTTTCCCTACATTCTCATTGAATGACTCCTAAGTTTCCCAAGGTTGCAAAGAGAAGACAAAACACACATCCTCTTTCTATCTACTGACCCAAACTGGCATTTAGGAAAGGCATGCTTGGAGAAGGAGAGGAATCTCTAGAAAGAATCTGCCCAATCAAGGTAATCGGGCAACAAGCCTGGGAAACAGAAGTCTAGTGTGAGAAAGCTTAGATCAAGAAACACTGGACCATCTATGGGCCCTGTGCCAGCCCAGTACTATGGACAGTGTGAGGAGTGGTTAAGAGCACACCTGCTCAGGTCAACTGCCTGAGTTCAAATCTGGGCTCTCCCACTTGCAAGCTGTGTAACCTGGTAAATGTAGGCGTCTTCCTTTCTAAAGTGTAATATTACCTACTTCACTGGGTTGTTGGAGAATATGACAAAAGACACATAAAGCATGTGTCATAAAGAAAGTATGCAATAAATATCATCATTAATAAATTAATAAAATGAGGCCTTCAAGCCTCATTATAGGTGAATGGTTGTTAAACGGTCCCTGAATGAACTATGCAGCCATTTTGGTCCTTGGTATCTTAAGCAGTCACAGTCTCAAGGCTTAACTTTATAAAAGACAGTCATCCTAATTACCGAAAAACCACCTGCTTCAGAGAAAAAAAAGCACCTAAAATGTAATTTCACATGTTCCAAATAGAAAAGTGCCAAACTGGCTGGGCCTGGTGGCTCACCCCTGTAA